AGAGTGTTAAACAAGAGGGCAATAAAAGGGTTTTTCCTCTGATGTCAGGACAAGCTCAGTTCCACTCCAGCGCAATGCTGCATTTAGAGCAATCAAATACAACCCTGTTGGCGTTTGGGGTGTATAGCTGGTTTTGAAGGTTTCTTTTTCATTTCCGTTTTATGGACTGTGCCACAACTGGGACCAAAGCAATTACTTGCAGGTTCTTCAGTAGCTTTTGAAGACATTTTCAGGCAGTAAATAGGCCTTGTATAGCAAGTCTCAGAGCTGTTCTTTGCCCTGCTGTGGTCCCTGTGCAGCTACTGCAGCAGTGAGAAAGGAACAAATATTAAATAAAAATGGATCCAGGGCAGAAATCAGTTGTACGGAGAGTTTCCTATTTGGGCTGAGATGATTGAATGTTTTTTATCTCACCATAAAATTGAAGTTTGCCAGTGGAGAAATCTTACTGCACCTTCCCTAGTTTTCAGATGTTTTGCAGCCATTCTTTCACTAGTCTGGGAATTTCCTATTCTATAAACTGATATTCAGCAGGCACTAAACTAATTTAAAGCCATCTTTCACATTCTCCCTCTGTTCTTTAATTCCTGCAGCAGAAATGGGTGGAAAGGTGCTGTCGTTCCCTGCTGAAGGAAGAACTTCGGCTTTTTTTTTTTTGCAGTCAGGACAGTGCCTCACACCCTATGGATAAATACTACCCTCAGTGATACCGACAAAATCATCGTACCAGTGAGGTCCCTAGAGAGCACTCAATGGAGAGCAGAATAGAATACTTTGCGTATGTTCTTCTTCATATCAGCCTAAATCTGATTACTTTGATGGAGTGAAGCAGAGTTGCATAAATTGTTAGAGACACGAATCCAATAGTTATCCTTTGTGCTTCATTTCATTTACAGAAAAGTTCCATCAGAGGTATGGAGAACCAGCAAGCCTGATGATTTTAACCACTTCATTTTCACTTGTTTTCTGCTTAGATAATTTGACCTGAATGTTGATACCAAAGCATAAGCTTTACAGAACAACTGTATTGACTCTTAGGAAACAGTCCATTGTTTCTGGTTGCTTTCATTTTCAGAATAATAGCAAGAGTGATGCATTCGTAACCAGCTGCCAATAGGGACGGTAGATAGCTAGGACAGGCTGTTGAGATGTCAGTTCCTTTTGGCTCTTCCTCAGTGTCTAGGAAATAATAAACTGCTTCAATTTGTGTGATCAAATAAACATGATAGTACTAAATATATTTAATTGAACAATCTCTTCAATTCTTTGTGTCACCAAAATGAAAACTTACTGAAGATGCAAGGGGCTACATTGTCCCAGGTGCTGTTGATCCTTATAGGCCATTAGGAAAAATGTGTATTTTGTTCTGAAAGGAGCAAAGACTATTCCCACTTTTCAGGGCTCACCTCTTGCAGCAACAGCTTGAATGTGGTGGCTGTAAGAATAATTTCTATGGCTCAATACGGGAACTTCCTGCAGCAGATCAGATTGCCTTCTGTCAGCTGTCTTAGGTGACGTGACCCACAGATTTCATTCTCTTCATGTTCAAAATATTGAATTCAGGCTATTATACTAGGTTCAGTTGGTTTTTGTTACACTGATAATGATAAAGTCTAGAGCAGAGCAATAAGATGATTTTCAAAGTTATATTTTATTAGGAAGTTATAATAATTTCAAAACAAAACCTTACACACAAACACATAAAATCTTAAAAATTAACAAGTTGTGTGAATTCAGTTTCCTATTAATATAAATGCAAGGCATCTGTGGTTGGGTAAAGTGTAAGTACATTCTCTGTGAGTGTAAAATCTTATTTTTTAAAAAAAAAAAAAACAAACAAGACTTGTATGCCAGAAAACATATGGTTTCAAAGAGTTTCATTTCATATAGTTCAGAATGTCAACAGCTTACACTGAAGTATACTGGTACACTAAAAGTGGGTTTGTTATTGGCAAGGACAACAAATATATTTGTTATAGTAAAAGAATACAAAACCACAAAAAATTGCCAGCAGAGTGTTAACAGTTTCCCAGAGAGATTTGTCATTATGAATAATTGCACTTAACCTGTAGACTACTACTAGTAGCTAATAATGTTTTCTTTATTATTTCAAAATATTTGTAATTTCCTTAACAAAAATCCATTCTGTACCCAACACAAAACATTCACTGAATGCAGATTTAAGACACAATATTGGATTTTAATTGTGCACCTTTACTTTCCCCTTTTTACCTATAGACCAAAAAGGTTAAAAAAAAAAAAAAAAAGAGCTTTAAAATGAATGATCTGTGCAAAATGGGAAGCCTTTATATAATGACTGATATCTCATGCAAAAGAGAAAAAATATGAAAAAAAAAAACAAAACAGTCTAAGAAGCCCTGAGTCAATAATTTCATTGCAAAGGCGAGGAACATGAGTGCTCTGAGTCCTTCCTATACATCGGTGCATATTCAAACCAGTCCAGTATTTACTTAAAACATATTTAAAAATAGACAGTTTGTGCAGTTTCTCACATACAAATCTTCTATGCACTTCATTCCTTTCAGCAGACTGTATTTAATACTCAATTTCGTTTAAGCTGTCAGGATAGCCTGATGAGAACTGAATTTCTTCCATTTCTAGAATACAAAGAAGGGGGAAATACTGTAATAGTTTGTATTTTCATCATACATAAGAACGCATAAGACAGAACTTAATTACCATGCTGGACTTAAATGGGACTTCCATATGGTTTTTAAAAAGTGTTACAGCATCTTTCCTAGTCCATATTCTGAGGATGGTCTCGCATCTTATTAGAAAACAAAAATTCTGCACTAACCCAGCAGCATGATACTAAATTCAGATCCATTCAGTGGGAGTTCAAGGGAAGAAGTATCGCCTGTCTAATTACAAAAAGCACTGTGAATTGCTAGGTGTCTCCTAAGAGAAACAAAGTATGTTTAAACTTACCTAAACAGGGTCCTGCCTGGAACAGAATATCATCAATAGCAGTGTCACTTCTCATTGACACACCACGGATCGCCTCAAAAATAATCTGTAGAGGTAAGACACAGCTTTTCATGAATCCCATGGGAAGAAGGACTAAAAAAATTAATACCCATGCAGCCTATTCAAGGACCTACTGTCCTGAAAGCTTGCTTTTTAGAAAGACTCTTCTATTCTCCATCAGTGGACTGGGTGCCCTGGTCAGAGAATTTGGGTGTGTGCTATGCCAAAGGAAGCAAATTTGTTCTCACAATTTCTTAAGAAATTGCTGTGTGTTATAGACCACTGATAAATTTTCTCTAGTGATGTGGCATTTCTGTCTTGCTTTTCAGCCCAAATGGGTCGCTGTGTGTTGCCCGTATGCCAGCAAGACTTGAGGGGAAAAAAAAGCATTACAATATTATGTTGTGGTCTTACTGATGAAACTAAAATTGCTTTTCAGTAAAAGGTTTCTTTTTTTTTTTTTTTTCCCCCCTATTTACTTTCCAGGTCATCTCTACATTTAAAACAGAAAAAAAGCTGTTACCGCTGTACATTATTAAAAACAGTTGTCACTCAAAGCTCATAACAGTTTTCTATCTTAAAGCTACATCTGTAAGTACTAGTGCAGTGAGGCAAAGAGAATTTAAGGGAGATGCACAGGATCCCAAAGTAAATCAGTGGCACAGCTATGAACAGAGGCAACTCTCTTACCTGTTACAGGGCCATCCTTCTCCCTTTCTGTCAATGCTGCCAGTCAGTGCTCATGTTGATATCCAGTTACAAACAGAAGCGTGTGCGTTTGACTTGCGTGGTTGTTACCCTCTTTAATGTTTGGCCCAGATTGAGAATATGAAGACCTGTTCAAGAAGTATTAAATATAGAGGTGTCATAAGCCTTACTCTTCACAGTTGTACTCTGACCCTCTCACGGTTTCTGTTATTTGCTCTGATGAAACTATAATTTCTTTTTAGTAAAATGTTTTTTTTTTTTTTTTTTTTCCCCCCTAATTAACTTCCAGGCTCTTAAGGCAAAGCAATTAAAAAAAAAGCACCCAGCATCTTTGGTTAGTGATCAGTGCTGTTTTGTGCCCAATGCTCTTTCGTGCCCAATGCTGTTTCAGTCAGTAGCAATTTCAGCTTCCTCTTTGACAGAGAAACTGAAGCACGGTTTGTCTCTGGTGGTACTGAAATGATGGCACTGCTGAAACCAAAGGCAGAGCTCTGGCTTTGCATCATCCTTTGCCTTTGGTGCCACCTCGGAAAGACCATCCTGCAAGAAGCAGCCATTTTATCACAACTTAGTGGTTATGTCAAATCTACACAGGGCTTTAGACAGCTGAAGGAAAAGAAATTGCACAAGTGATCTAAATAAAAACTACCACTACTGACAAGAAATGATGGGAAAACAGCATTTAAATGCTTTTGAATTAATTTTTGAATTAATGAACTATTTTCATACTTGCAGCCTATTAATGTCTTTAATAATTCCCTCCCTACCCTTCATTTTTAAGCAATTACACATTACTTCAGCTTGTTCAGGTGTCCATTCAATGCCATCTACATTTTCACTTTTTTTTTTTTTTTTTTACACAACCCAAAACTTGGATTCTAGCACATAGTTCAGTTCAATATTCCGTTTTGACTGCTTTTTGTTTGTTTTTTCTTACCTGGTAGTTTCTATCACTTTCATATTCTATCAGTCCCCTTAGCCATGAGATGCTTTGTTCCCCTGTCCTCCTCCACAAAGGAATCTCTTCATCATCACCTTCCTTTTTTAGATAAACACTTAATAATCCAGTCCCAGCTCCATACATGTGATAGAAAAATGTCAAGCACTGTTTTCCAGAGGTTCCTCTTAGTGATCTTGAAACTAGGTATGCTCTCTGTCCATAGACCATGTTGGATGCCTCTATATACATGTAGTATCCTTAAAAAGATACACAAGCAAATATTAGCAAAGTAGAATATGTTCTCTCAGCATGTTCATTACGCTCAACATGCTCATTATATAAAAAATTATGATTGAAACTATTTTGATAAAGATTTTTATGCTGTAGACTTGTATTTGTGAACTGTAATATTTGTGATACTGTAATAATTGTGTTAGTGTAATAATGGTAATATTCGTGAATGCTAATATAACAACACTTAAAAACTTGTTTTTTATCTGATGAAACACATAGCAACAGAAAGGAATATAAAGTAAGAAAAAATCATAGCTGTTCTTAAACCAGGAATGCACTCTGACAGTAGTCGATTAACTGGAATTCAAAGACAGCTGCATGTACATCTGAGGGTACAGTTTAGGCAATGGTTGGAGCTGATGCTATTAACAAAGCAAATGAATTGAAATACCTCTTTTAAATCACATATGACATCAATAATATTTTTCTTTCTGTGATCAAGATCTGAAGACACAAGTGAGGAAAACTAGACTCTCTAGTATCCATGAATAAATGCACGATTGTCATGAACTCTGATCTGTGGAAAAATTAGTCATTAATTGGTGGCAGGTAAATTAATCCCTTGCCTCAATCCATCATTCAGTTATTTCCAACTGGAGCAAACTGCGGTGTGTCAGGAGACTGAGGAGCATGTAAACTCTGCCAGCAGGCAATGAACTCAGGTTTGGTAGCAGCTCTTCATGCTGTCCCACTGCTCCCTTTTTGTGGTGTTGGAGAAAACACACTGCCCTTCTGCCACCACAACTCCTGGCGGTGAGATTGCCCTCAGGGGGAGAGGGGATTCCTAAGGATCAGTGAGGCAGGAGAAAAGCTGAGAGTGGCAAGAGCAGCTGGTGGATGCTCAGGGTGTCTCTCCTGATACTCAGAGTCCTATTGTCTACACAAATCCATGCTGAAGACATCCCCTCTAACCGCGGTTGTAGTTTGGTAGTGAGCAGCAGTAGAGAGAAAGGGTGAAAAGGAAGATTATCTACAGCTGTAGGTCTGTAAAGAAAAGATAATTTCATACAGTGTGTTGGAGAATTCCCAAGGCTATTTATACCAAACCTAGTGCAACCCATTGTGAGGATTTTGATGTTCACTATGCTTAAAAGTTCCTTGGCTTCAAAATCAAAACCTACAGCTCATACTACAGTATAATAACATAATTTGCCTTTAGTTCTAAGGCCTGAATCATATTATGAACTTGTTGGAAAGACTAGATCAGGTCTTGGTTTTGTGAATTTAAATCCACGTATTTCTCAGCACATCTTGCTGCAAAAAGAGATGTGTGAAATAAGGAATAAACATTGCTGTCACAGGCCAGGCTTAAAAGATTCTCTTGCTTCGCCAGTTCTAAAGCCAAGCTGTCAGCCTCAGATCTCAGAGTACTTAGTGATCTACATAAACTGAAAATAGGTCTAAAGTCAGTTTCTGCCTTAGAAATGAAGAAAATTGTGCTAACAACCCATTCTTTTTCTTACGCAAGAAACTCTTAAGTGTTGCTCCTACTATAAGGAGGGTTATTGTCCATGGAAACACAAGAGCTGGCATAGAGAGTATTTGAAAGAGGAAGAATAAAATATATTTTCTAGGGATAACCAAGGAAAAAAAAAGCATCCAACAAACCTGAACATTGAATCCTTTTATGGAATTGAGTTTGGTTACCTACCGAAACAACCACCAACTTTAATGTAATGTAGTCCTTTTAGATTATGTTTTGTAGGAAAAGAAGGGTCTGCCAGACAATACAGAGATGGCCTACAGATGCTTCTCCAAGAGGCTCACCCACATTTCAAAATAAAAATTCTCAAATTAACTTTAAAAACTGTTAGGAAAAATTCTCACTTATTTTAAAGCTGGTGATCACATGTCTAGTTGATGCAGAAGAACTGAACAGCGCGGGTAACAAAGACTTACAGACAGTATGTCATCTAATTCACTCTAATGTCACCTGATTTTTAAATGGAAAAGGGACAAGAATTTCAATATTCCCTTTTGAAAGTCATTCAACAGTACAAAGGTATTATTGGGAAAATGTTCTTGATTTGTAAATAGCCTACATTTTCCACTTAGATAACTTAGCCAATAGATCTGGTCAGAATACGGTCAGATTTGTAAGTAATGGTTCTCATTTTTGTTTCATAACACATAAGAGAAGTTTTAAGCTTTAAAACTTAGTTATCTCTGAAGGCTATTCATATTTCTACCCAGAATCAGTACTGTTTAGAATTAACAATGGAAGAACATAATTTCTTGGTGATCCAAAATTTCAAGCCAAAGAGAAACATTCCCATCTGCATTCTCAATTCCACATGTAGGATTTTGGCCATATAGTCCCATACACCATGAATTCACATCTCTCTAGTCAACTTCCATACCTTGCTCAGGATGCAGCTACTACAGAAATTTTACCAGGAGATAGGAAGGGGAGATTTTGCTGAACATGCACAAAGCCATCTTTTTAGATAAAGAGATCAGAAACAAGACAAAACATTTTTTATTTTATTAACTAGAAGCATTTGTTATTTTGTTAACTAGAAACAAAACAGTTTTCCAGAGTAACTTGAATTAAGCTTGCATAGAGCAAGACTTCATATGCACAGCTGAAATAACTATGCTTGATAATGCTTAACGCAGTTTACACTCAATCACAGTTGACAGAATAATAATAGCTTTTGGTGAGCCTTTTGAGCAGGCCAACTGCTTTTGTAATCCAGCTAAAATTTTTAACAGACTGGATAGACGGCTACTGTGAGTAAGCCAGCTTGTCTGCAACTGACTTTATAACTTGTTGAATGAATGCTAACCACTGTGAAAGAGGGCAAATCCAAAGGCCCCAAAAGCCTTTTTAAACTTATGTAAGCATTTAAAGTTCACAAGCCTTAGGGCAGTTTCATCCATTGTACTGAAGGCAGTGGAATTGTTCCTGAGGTCCTCTTCTGCAGGAACACGAGCACCCAATGCAGTGATGCAGTTCATTCATTTCCAAAAGTCCCCAGGTACTGCCCCAGTGTGGGGGCAATCCTGATGCAGTTTTCTGTGCGCTTGCTCATACTAATGGGGACCCTACTTGCCTAAATACTTTAAATTACACCAGTGAAGTCATGGAGCAGATTTTCAAGACAGAAGATCTGTGGGACCTCTTTTATTATCCGTGTGTTCTTCTAAGTTTGAACAGGAAAGTGTTGATGCAGAAGCGCCCCCAACCACTTGTTTGCCTTTTAGTTTCAGGGAATATTCACATAAGCTAGAGGTTTGGAAGAAGGCTTTTCTGCAGGGTCTGGAGAGTCATCCTGTCCTTTTTTCTCCCAAAGGAAAGGGCTACTTTAGGACATGAAGACTGAATTACCCACTTGGTCTGCAGATAATTCAGATTAAACATCACATTCTCAAAACCACCTGTGGGTCCCTAAGAAACGTGTTTACTTTGTTTGATTAATAACCGTTCTGAACAGAACAGTAAAAACTTTCTCTGTGTTCTAGGTTATTATTTCAAAGTATTTTTGATTAACTATCAATCTCTCTTCTGAAAGTTCAATGTGGAGCTTAACTCACCTACCCCAGTAGTGTGGTCTCCTTTCGGTCCAGTGTAAGAAGTGGGAGTTGGACCCCTCCTCCTGTGCCAACTCCCACGACCTCTCTTCTTCTGGGTAAACACACACTCATCCTTTTCAAAAGTACACTCTCCAGGATTGGGCAGCAATAGATCTATAAGGAGAAGACATTGTTTAAAACTGCAAACGTATTAGATATATGGAGAGATTACACAAGCAATGTATTGCATTCACTCACCTGCTGAAATCACTTATATCTACCTAGCAGTAGTCACAAGCTTATAAAAGCTAGCTTCAAACTGATGTATGAAATTTAATTTCATTTTCTTCGAGGCTTTGGGGAAATCTGTGCCCTAGTCTGGCTCACTAACATGTACTAATATTCTTTAAAACATCTCATACAGTTTATTATCTCATCATAGCTCTTACTACGCTATGGGCTCTACCAATGTAATTTTCTTCACTACTGTGGCACCCCAAGCAATTTAATGAGCTCCAGCATGTATAACATGCGTATTAAATGAGTCTTGTCAAAGATTGGAGTTTCTGTGATCTGAAATCAAATGCCACATTTAGCTCTCTTATGTTCCCTTGACACCAAATTGTAATACCACATACAACAGACCACAAAGCTGCAATTACTAGCGTGTTTTTGTTATTTCAATTCTGTTAGATGATGCAAAAGAGAGAAAGTTGACAATTCAGGTGCTCACCAGGAAGCTTCTGTCAGGTATTCTGCTACAATCTGAATTTGTAGTTGAGGAGTAGACACTCTGAGCTGCTTTCACCTTTCGGAAAGGAGGAAGCCTTGATGCCTCACATACTCTGGGGCATTTCTGGAGCATTTTTTTCTGCCATCAGTGACAAGTCCCCATATGACTATACACCCAAGTATCAGTTCTGCACCTTTGGTTCCTTTTCAAATTACTTAGGAAGTACAGAAAGGCAAAAAAGAAAACTGTTGGAAATACTTTAGAAAAATGGCATCTTGTTGTATACATGTGACTTCTCTCTGTTCTGTAATGGTTAGCTGCCTGAATGCATGAAATCCAATCAAAAGAGGTCATTAAAAAGATCTTATTACATGGGAATATAAATGGCATGGTAGATCAGCCTCATCACCATTTCAAAGGCATGGCTTTATTCTGAAGAAGAATGGGATTATAGATTGTGCCTGTCTCATGAGAATGGTTTCCAAATTAGGATACAATCGTTGCATTGTCAAACCTCAAAAAGCCCCAGAAGAGGGAGTTTCGGTGAGTTCAGAGAGGTTAGCCTGTGCATGTCAGAGAGGAAAGTCTCATTCAAGAACATTGATTTCCTCCCACTACAGGAGGGAGAGTTAGACTCATCTGTCTTCATTAGAGAACTGCAGCTCAGATAAGGGACTGTGTCTTGGCCTTGCACAACTGTACTTCTGGACTAAAAATAATAATGCTACGTTTTGAAAATATTGCTTTAGGGTTCATTCCTGGTTTCCTAAAAGCCATTTGAAAACTACTTTCCCTTCAGTTGGACTGTTGTTTTTCTTAAAATGGTAATGCCCCAAAAGGACCGCTCACTTATATACAACTGCACTGGAGTCAGTCAGTTAATTAGGAGTTAGCTGGTACCCCTGTGAACAAAAACTGGTCCTCGCTGTATGTATGCTACCACAAAAATAGGATTTATGCAATACTTATTGGAAAAAGAAAAGAAAAGAGAAGAAACCACAGTGGGATGAAGGCAGCTGTAGGATCGGCTTGGAAAATGAAGGTATGCGATGAGCTCTTACTAAAAAGGGTAGCAGCTGTTGGACAACAAATATACGTGGTCTTACCAGCAGCCTGGCAGCTTCCCAGGCTTAATGATACATCATCCAGTGCCACAAGTCCACAGTCCCAGAAGCTTTTACACCAGCTGACAAAGACAACCTGCAATACATGAAAGAAGTTTCAGGTATCTAACAAAAATTGGCACTGTTAAGAGTCTGAAATTTTAGATTTTTCCAAGTGTGCTAATAATTTTGACATCTACAGAACAGAAATGATGAATCCACTTTGTTTTGGCACATACTAATACTGCCAATGACTGAAATTTCAGATCCAGTGGGGTTTATATGTATGTTCTCATACAATAGGAAGTGTTTTCTCACTTTTATAGGCAAATGATGTATCTTTGTATGTAGTTTTCATTTTATTAGGACAGTGTGTATTTTTTAGTGTATGAGAAAACATGACTCACTGAGGCTGTTGCGGTTTTCCCCCCCCCCAGAAACCAACACGAACAGCTCAAATGTCCTCAGCTATCTTATCCTTACAACCAGGAGGTTTTATCCATGGGAAAATAAATTTGAAAGAGTAAAGCAGAGTGATGGCCAAGAGAAATGGCTGTGGCAAAAAAAAGAGAACAATAGAGATGAGATGAAATTACTGCATAAAATGGGATTATTCAGAAATGACACAAGGCCATGATATCATAGAGCAGGAGGCTAGAAATGCTAAGCATCATTCACAGTGTTCATCTGGGTTTGTGAAGATTAGGAATAGAGTCCAAGATGTTTTATTTGACTACACAGTAATTCTGCCATGGAAAATACAAGTCACCCGTGAGATGACAAAATAAAATGTAAAGAAACTGTAAGATTCCCAGCTGACCTTCTCCCAAGGTTGACACAGATCTGTTTGAATTGCAGAAGACACAATAAGGTTTATTTTGTAAACATACTGCTGGCAGTTTTCTTTGCCTAACTACTGCAAACCATCTGTCTGACCATTGGGGTTATGACCATAATTTGGGAGGAGATTTTCAAAACAATTCCTTCGTGATGAGGTCTGAGCTAGTGACTGGAGACGGATGAGTGTCACTTCTAACAGTTTAATATTCTGGAACAACTGTAAACACCTCAGTTACATATTTGAGGTTAAATGCTGACTGACAATTTCATGCGGATACAAAAGGTTGTTAAAAGTCGTTCACGCATTATTTAATAGGTCCTCTTTTAACAGGCTCGGTAACACCTTCAATATGGTCATTATCTTGGATTTTGCTAGATCGCTTTGCTATGTAGTATTTATTTACCCATCTGCTTATAAAACAGCCTGGGACATAACTACACTTTAACCTTTGAAGCATGTATGGGTTATGCTGCCCAGGATGAAGCAATTTCCAAAGTCATTTTCCATTCAGTGCTACCAATCCTGGTAACAGTGATGATCTGTCTTGTAAACTGTTACAGGTGTGGACTTGAGTGCTTCTGCACAGCATGCACAACTGCTCAGTGTATAGTGGCCTAAAACTGGCTTTTTTTTTTTTTTTCCTGTAGAGCTGCTCTCTTAGCCTTAAGGTTTAACAGGACAAATACTGTTTCCTACTTTGTTACAAAGTTCATTCTCAAGAAACAGGCACAATCAATTAAGAAATGGTAGCATCTCCTGGAATAAAGAATAAAATAAATACTGACGTTGGGTGGACGTCATTCACCAGATTTTTAATAAATGCATTCTGGTGAACATTTGTAATAAACTAAAGACATATTATAGTTCTAAACCCAAGAATCTTCAGAAAACCACACATGAAAGGGTGAGGTCAGTCCTCGTTTGTGAAACAACATTTCCACACTGTGGAATCATGTTGTAAGTGATGTTTTCCTATTGACATCATTGGGAGCAGGATCAAGTTCTTTATTCTTAAATTGCAATAATTTGTTCCATACAAGGTATGTAATTACCCACTGGATCCTGCAGAGAGCCCTCCATTTCAAAAGCATCGCAACAATAACTGTTGGTCTCTCGAAGGCCATTGAGCCAGTAGCCTTTGTACAATCAAAGGACTGATCTGTTTCAGTGGCACTTGTAAACTTGTTCAGCTTTGCCATCTGTAGCTTTAGCGTTACTAATTCGCCACTTGGCTTTTTGTGGTGTTGAGTGACACGCTGCCATGAGCAGACTTTATAATTGCACAGGGGTGGGGGCGCTTGTGCTTGGGAACGTGGAGTTTCCAGTATTCGCTATAGCAAATGTACTGAAATTGTTCATTGTCCCCTGGGCTTATTTTGTTGTTATATTCTTGATTTAGTTTTAAGCAATGTGGTAGAACATTTTTATTCACAGGTCAAATTTTATTCACTCTTTTGTCCTAAATGTCCTGTTTTTGTCATAAAGGAACATCTTTGACTATTTGAACTTTACCTACTAAAATTGTATCAATTTGGATTTACTCAGCTACTCATTTTCACCCTACGTGATCAGATCTCTGAATTCTTTCTACAGTCTTGATAGGACTATCTCACGATGCTTTTACATTTGTTCTTGTTTTGAATGAAAATATTTCCTAGGTCAATTCTTCCAAAAGAAATTTTTATGAAGTTATCTCATGCCTTGGAGAAGAGCATAGGGGGATCTTTGTGTTCAGCTCACACCTTCTTCATAAAACATGGCAGACAAACAACACACTAATTGTTTGAAACTAGGTAACAAATCTTCCTGGACTTGCATGCTATCTTGGAGGCTAAATGAAAAACATTATCAAATGCAGGCAGTTGTTGCCTGCGTTACTGAAAAATAAAACATATTTTCCTCTCATGTTTCTTTTTGTTCCAATAACAGGACACAGCCAGGGCATTAGTTTCCTTCCAAATCATTGCCCCGATTTCTGGAAGCTGGTTTGTTTATTTTCCAGTGCTTAATCAATGTTCCTGGCCTGCAGCCTCGAAGTATCAATAATCAGTTCTTAGCATTTATCCTGGATTATATCAGTAATGAGCAACGCCAGATGAGAACAGCTGGTAGAGCGAGCAGGGTTTCATTTTTCCCATAACACATTGTTGGGTTGTGCTGCAGACGCGGCCTGAGGTAGAAGGGACTTCTCATCCTTAGCACTCTGCATCTCTACAAGTAAATGTGAGTTAAAATGTATGCGTATGAAGTTTACCTGCTTTTGGAGGAAAGAATAGGACATGAGTAGGCTACCTCCATCAAGAACTATAAGGAAGGACTAATGGGGAAGCTTGTAAAAGGAGGTTTGGAGGAGCTGGACTGAGAACAGGAGAAAAGGAGAGAAGATGCCCTTGGGCCCCTATGGGTTCTGTGTATTTTCTTTCCTACTTGTTTATCCCAGAAAACATAGCTCTTGCTCAATTAGAGAGCCATACCAGCCAAACAAAAGAAAAACTGGGGCAGCAGCCAAGCTGGTGACTTAAAAGCAAGCTATGCCTCTGCAGCAAATTGATTTACCTGATTCCATCCTAGAGAATATTCCTACGTTTAAACTACATACTGTGTATCAGTGTTGACACAAAATTCAGTCTGTCACTTAGACACATATTTAGGCTCAATCTCTTAAAGGAGAAAGGCGGTTATAGTGGAGTCAGAAGTGGGTTTTTGTGAGAAGCAACTGTTGCAATTTCCATACAATGACACAAAACTCAGTATAATGAAATCCAAAAATAATTCAAGCACCAGAAACAAAAGTGTGACACGACACAAAGAAGCAGTCAAGATGTTTTCACAGAACAGGGAGCCTGACTTTTCAGTCATTTACACTAGTACACAGCCATATAAGTGTGTGAACCAGGGACCCATCACTGGCACAGGGAATGGGAGAACCATTCTGATTCTCCCAGGGATGCTGTTCGATACAAACCTTATCAGTGTAGCCCAAATTACTTTTAACTAGTTTAATTAAACTAGATTTTAAATGGCTTGTTTGGCTTAAGCAGTCAAAAACTCATTTATCAAGAATGCAAGTAAGCTATTAAGCCAAAATTAGAATGTCTGCAAGCTTCTGTCATTTAAAAGAAATTGATTTAATATGGCACTCTCCAGGCAAGTTCAATTTCTTGCCATGTAAATACAATGAGCTTTTGCGGGAAAAATAATGGATTATGAAAGCTTCTACATAAATAATTGGATAACATTGGTAATAAGCTTATGACACTTGAACAAATATTTTTGAAAATCTTTCCTGTCCAAGGGCAAATGGGTTGCAGAAACAAACACTGAAAGAGAAGCATAAAGCTAACAGAACAACCTCGGGCCACAGGCTGTTAATGCTACATCTATATTCACTGGATTGCACTGTCTAGTAGAGAATACTGACTGCACAGAAATGTGTACAGGACACTGATATCCTCAGCTGTCCCCCAGGGCCCTCCTAGATTTCCAGAAATCTGCTATTATGGCTCTATCCTCTTTTCAGTGAAACATTTTCCTTCGCTCTTTTTATAAGAGGGAAAGGTTCTTGCCTTTAGACTGAGGAGTCTTGTCAAATGATGTAGCATCATAGTATCACAATATTAAATACTCAGAACAAAAATTGAGAAAAAAAAACAAAATATCAGTTAAGTATCACAGATACCAAAAGGAGATACGTAATATTTCATGCAACATATCTCCTTGCTTAGCTACTGTGAAGATGCGGGCCACTTAGGTAACACTTTCTAACCTGAATAATTTTTACAGTTTCTAATATGTCATTTTCATAACCGTATATCAAACACCATAGACAGTAGGGTATACATTGTGCAAGCACTAATCCTACTATTTACAGACCCTAATGCCCTTATTTTAAATAGGCATTTCCAGTGACTGTTCTTTAAGAAATTTCTTGGTTTAGAGGTGAGAGAAGGACACAAGGGCTATACTATAAAACTGCAGCTCATTCCAACCTCTTTAGCTTGTATACCTTACCATGAGAAGACTGATCAAGGGTTGTGTCAGAACAGTACCAAAAAGCTCCTTTATTTGACGCAAGTGAGAGCTTTTCAGAGGAGGAGGAGATGAGGACTAGGATGTCTGCCCTCCTCCGCTTGATACTCGACTGGAGAACCGTCCCCTTTATACTAGTGACTCAGTCACAAGGATCTAGGACTTCATCATATATCCAAGATTGCTTTAGTTATTTACCTATGACTTCGGTAGACAAGTGGGAGACA